TCATGTAAGAGTATCACTATCATTTTACATATCTTAATTGCATTTCCTGCATTATGCAAATACCTAAGCTGAAGTTTAGAATTTCAAAACATCTCCAAATGGCCATGTATTTGCACTGAACTTAAAAGGTTAAAATTGGGTGGAAAGATGGCCAAAATAGTGGCCATACATTTTACACGAAAACTTGGAGACTATGTTTTTTAACTTATGAAACATAAAGCCTGGAAAACTTCAGAATAGTCTGAAGCTTATGACCCTGCTATTGCAGTATTCTTTAGTCATTACAGCACTGATAGTAAGGTTGAGAACACACATTTGAATATGTAGATATATCAGCTCTCAAGAAGGGATAGTCATGGCACTGAGAATATACTGGAATTTTCTGCAAAATTAATACAGATTTCTGCAACTTAAACTACCAGTACAAAAATGTAAAGCGATATTCTTAGAAAATGTGACTTAAAATTAGGTTCCTAAAAGCATTATATCACAACCTAAATATAAACAACATTTTTCAAAACTCATGCATATCAGTCTTGAATGATTGTAGGGCAGTCCAGCTTTCCCATAGTTTTTTAGTCTCAGGTTTTTACAAGGAGAAATATTAAGACAGTGTTAGGCATATAAAATCAGAAAATAAAGATCTAACAGACTAAGTGTATCATGTTGCCAGGAATAAAAGCCCAATGAAGCTACTACTCTGAGAGAGTTTGCCAGTTTAGCCAAATAATGAAACTGAAAAGAAGGCAGAAATTCACATATAGGTAATTCGCAGATTCTGACTATAAAATTAACCTATGACATTTTATTGTCTTATATAAATACTCAATAAACTTTCAATTAAAATTTTTACACCAAAGATATATCGAAGAGAAATTCTGGCAGCCKACCACAGTCCATTTTCAAAAAACAATTAGGACTCAATGCTCAGACATGGAAAGTGGGACTTAGCACTTCACAGAAAGTGRAATACAGTGTCAGGGAAAATCCACAATGTCTTCAAGGAGAAGCACTGCCTTGTTTAGAGAAACTACAAAGAAACTAACMCCTATATGATAAGGCCTGGTTCTGCTCTATTTGACTTGACATTAGCCAGCCACGATATATATAGCTACACAGTCAATGTACACACAGCAAAAAAAACATGCACAGTAAATGCTGCCTTTACAAAGTAGTTAAAGGGTACAARAGGGAAATATTCTTTCAGAAAGGAAACTGAGGAGGAAAGAGCTGAGAAAGCATGCCTACTTAGTCAGAAGGGCTCAACAAGAAAAGATATTTTAAATGAGCCRAAGTCAAATACATATTGCACGAAGGAGAAAGAGAAGCTGTGGGAATCTTAAACAGGGAAGATTTCAGACTGCAGTGTTAAGTTTTAAATGCCAGCAGACATGGCTGCAGCATATCTAAATAGCTTATTTGATAAAGAGATGGCTTAACTGGAGCATCATTTCCCAGTACTTGGCTCATAAACAACAGGAAATCACATGCAGAGAAAAAGAGGTCAAAACAGTCAGGCCAACCAGTACATATTTCACCCAAAGCCATGGCTTCCACAATTTACTGAGATATCTCTCCCATGACTTCTGCTCCTGGAGTCCATGTTTCTACTTGCATAGACACACAAACACTAGCTTTCCAAGCATTTGCAGCTACACTGCTCTGAACTGCACTCCTGCTTGACAGCATCTTTCTTTCCCATTCCTCAACTCCAAGCCAAATATAACCAGCTGTGATAGTCAGCAGCACCAGTTTCCAAATGCATCACCAGGTCTCAGTTCTTGCAGCACCAGTTTCCAAATGCATCACCAGGTCTCAGTTCTTTCACCTCCTCACCCTTCTGCGATTATCATGAATGTGTCTCTCTTAATCTTTTCACCAAGGCTATATGTCAGCAGATTCCTGCCCAGCTTCCACTCTCTAAAGCACAGATTCTTCTGGATTGTTAAAACTGTCGCCCAGGCTCATAGCACCATGCATCTCAATCACCGCAATGTTCTCCCTCATCCTGGACAARTGTAATCTGTCATCATCGGTATCCATTCAAAATGCTGATGTGAAATTCATTTTCTGAGCCCATCATCTGTCTGCATCATTCTTACCTGTGCCTCCACTCATTGGATAAACTATCCCTACCTCATCATTAATAGCTACTTACTTTGTTTTCCAAGAAATTTCAAAGTCTAACTCATCATCTTTCAGCCTTCTCCAATAATTTTTAATCTGTATCCAACAGCTCATTGTGCTTGCCCTCTAAGTCTGACTTGTTAAATGTGAGGATCATTGTTCTTTCTGTACCATATTTCTCTTTAAACATCCCTGAATGAATGGCATGAGACAAAYGAAAATATTACATTCATTGTCCGAATCCAAGATTAAAAGCACTGAGGTTCTGAATACAAAATTCTAYAATAGTAAAGCTGAGTAAATAATTTAGAGCATGGAATTTATTTAATTAATTTTGCTTAATTTTCTGTTCACAAAACAGTGAATTTGGTATTCAGATGTACCTACCAAATAATCTTCACAAATTACTCTTGCCATGCAGATTAAAAACAAGCAACTATAAAAAATTATGTATTTGGGTCACATGATAAATTTCTGCAGCCCGGTTGCACAAGTATACCTTTGAATTGAGCTGGGTACAAATAGTCATGATTAAGTACCTAAAATTCACTGCCTGATAATAACTTCTAAAATCATAATTGTGGTGGTGATCATTCCTAGCAATAAACTTTGCTTCTGGAGTATCACCTGAAGCAAATGAAAAAGATATAAACAAGTGAGCTATTTTCATTTTAAAATGCAAATGTTTTCTTTCAAAAGGATTGCTATTTTATTTTAAGTTTGATTCTCTAGGGAAACCAAAAAAGAGTTCATTGCCTGAGTTTTTTTCTTTCTGTAGTGCTCAACWGAGTCATTTTCACTTAACCTCAGTAATTTTTTTAGACTTCTGATTGTAAAAAAAGAAAAAAAAACATTTGGAGGGGAGAAAAAGGCTACACAGAGTTCCAAAATAGCCACAGTGCACAYTGCCTTACTCATGAGTGGGAGATGGTGGGAAATAGGGGACACATAGGAAGGGTCCAGGGATGGGGGGGAGTAGGGAGAGAAGGAGAATCCAGGATGAAAGGATCTGAGAAGGAACTGCTCATATTATGGCAGCAAAAGTGGAGAAAGGGYGTTAGAGCTGTTCTTCCGTAGAAAAACAGCTTTTATTCATACCTTTGCTCACAGAATTCCATGGGAGTCTTGACAGGGAAATGCTTATTCCTTTTTATGAATGCCTAAATCTCATCTTGCCTATCTCAACAGCTATGACCTTATTTCAGCAGTCAGGACAGTCTTTTCATAGAGCAACATCTTTCCAGCCACAGTAGCACAAAGCTAGGTGAAAGGCAGAAAGCCATGGTCTAAATGATGTAATATTCATGACCTATGCATAAATATTCTTTCTCAGTCTTCTCACAGGACTCAACCAACCTTCTTTACAGTCAGACCACAGAGTTTTGCATACTTTATATCCTATTCCCAKGCAACCATAATTTTCAAGAAAGAATGTTCTGAATGCTTCAAAACAGCTGAAATTAATCACCTGGGAGCACAGTGAGTCCACCCATGTGAGCACAGCATGGGAAGCAGGGTCASTAGGTATCACTCCTGACTCTGGGTCACAAGTTCCTCACGTCCTGTCCTCAGAGCTGGGTCACAACCCAGTGCAGCAACATCAGACAAACATGAACTGAAACCACGCCCACCATCCTTTTTGACTGTATCACCGTAACAATTTTTAAATGAGGGCTGGTACCTCCCATTGCATTCATGTCCCAACATGACCTTTGGCTTCTGAGCATCAGCAATAAAAACCCTTAACCCAGGAGCCCAAAACTTCTTTACAGTGTGCTTGTTTGCTTTGGTAAACTGCCCTACCAACCTTTAGCGATACCATTTTCAGTTCTATCTGTGGCACGTGTTGTAACATTTCAGATACAATTATTATTTAGGTGGGTAATAATTATTTTTTAATTCCTTTTAAAGTGTGTTAGAAACTAAAAATGAAAGGGGCAGCACACAGCACACTTGGGAGACCTTTTCTCTACAGTCTACCTACAAATACTWTATGAAACAGTTTGAAAACTGTTAGTTTGCAAACCTCAGACATATAATAAAGTCAATATATAATTTTACAACCACATTTCTTTTTTCTTGTGCATTAACATATAAAAAGAAATTTGCTCTATTTCTCCTATCACAAAATTAAAGGCATTCCATATCCAAAACAGATAGTCTGTAGGTTTCACAGGATAATTACACAGATAATTTCTTCAGTGCATTTATTAAATTCTACCTCCCCTTTTTTTCTCTCAAATACATTCTGAACACCGAATCCATTTAAGAGAAGTGAAGATGATTTCTCTAACAGGACCAACACRTGTGACATCTCCTTTGGAGCATGGCACTTGAGTGCCATGTCCCATTCATTACATGTACTATGCACAGATATCTACTGTCGTCTTCCTATTTTTCAGTGGAAGTTTCTTAGAATAACCTTTTTAGCAAATGCTCTGCTCTTTATGTAAAATTTCAGTTCTTTCAAGGGAAAGACAAGCACCAYAACCCTAAACCATTCAAGTTGAAACTGAGTGCCTCTCTGCAGGCTGGCTTAGGATTCATCACTGTGCACTTCATCATCCTTAGGATGCTGTGGCCGATGTGTCATTTAAAGGAAAACAGGCTATAATACAGGAGATGTACATTTCTATAGGAAAATGGGAACATGAAGCCTATATTCCCACGGGAGCACCATGATGACAATTTCATTTTAAAGCATTAGATTTTTAATGGGCATATTTCAGAATAGGGCTTTTTTTTCCTGTAAAACAAAAAAATTACCTTCATATTTTTATAGCGAAGGTCTGCAATTTGGGATGAAACCTACKGGGATTTTTTTCTGTCTTTTTTTCAATTAGCTTTTGTTGGGTTAGAAGCTGAGCTCTTACCTTGTAGATGTCAAGGAAGCCGCACTGGTGGTCGAAGCGCGTGTAGAGCTCRTTGAGCATGCTGATGACCTGCATGGGCGTGCACTGCGCGCAGATGGCAGTGAAACCAACAATGTCCGAGAAGAGCATGGTGACATCGTCAAACTTCCTGGCCTGAACCTGCTGCCCCTGCCACAACTGCTGGGCCACCTCTTCAGGGAAAATAGAAATAAGGAGATCTACTGTCTTCTTTTTCTCCTCTTCCAGGGCTTTGTGTGTACATTCTAGCGTCGCTTTCAGCTTATCCATCCGTTTCTTCAAGCCATCCTGTGCCTTTGCTTGCTCCCCAACCAATATGACATCACGAGTAGCATCATGGATAGGAATGTCCGAGAGATGGAGGCCTCGGCCCATTAGCTCATCCAGCTTGTCCACACAGGGGGAACCCAGAAACAATATTGAGTTCGATTCCGGCACATGAATCATTTGACCTTTGATTTCCATCACCTGCAAAATAAAATGAAAGAGTTTACAAAAGGGGGAAAATCAGCTAGTAGATGTGGATCCTCATTCTACTTTCTCTGTCCTTCCTGTTCAGCTGAAATGATAAACATAAATTGTAGCCTTTTATTCAGAAGCCTCTTGCACTTACCTATTCAATTAATGAGACTCACAGTGTCTAGTCACCAAACTGTGAGTCAGAAAATAGCCTATACTGACACAAAGTATTCCCAAATCAGATGTAGGATTCTATTTGTACCAAATTAAATAAGAAAGCGGTAATATGTATTTTCAGAGTGCTGTCTAAATAATGCTCCTGGAATGTACCTGACCTTAGAAGCAAATTCCAGCGTTGTTCTTTCTACGTTAATTAGCTATAAATTACAAAAAGCACAAAAAGTAATGGGAAATTGCAACTAAAAAGCAGGTTAGTGAAATGAAGTAACTTCTGTTCTTTTTCAGCAAATTACCTGTTACAAGTCAATTGTGGCCATTTTATAGAGGAATCAAATAAAAACAGATGTGAGAAACAGCTCTATAAAGTAACAAATGGCATGGAAATATAGTACTAGAGCTCCTATTTCCTATTTTCTTTCTCATGCATGAAGCAGAGTTGAAGGCTGACATTCAGTTAGAATCTGCAGATTTCTTGGTGATAAGGGATTCATCCCATTCGTATTTGTGGAACAGTAGAMGGAACAGTAGGGAAGGAGCAGCAGGTGGCTCATCACACTGGTTTATAGCTTTTGCATTTGCCTGTTAAATGGCTAGATGTTTTGAGTGCTGTCCAAGGGCTGATATCAGTGAGGAGATGGATTGTCACCTCCTGCTCCATGATGACAGTCGAGCACAAAATTACCAGACTGAAATGGACATTGAAAACTAAATTAAATTAGACAAACTGTATCTCATGGTAAATACAGCATGCCATAGCGTCTGTCATGAAAGACAACCTCATTAATGTTTCCATTCCAGGACTGCCCAAAGACCGGGGCAATGCTGTGCCAGGTGATCTGAAACACCCACAGTCCTTACCCCAAAGATCTCACAGTCAATACCGACACAACACACCAACCTTGYGCATCTAAACACAGTATTAGGTGCCATAATGCCCTATATCTGTGCCTTTCTATACCACACAATCTCTTGAAATAAAAAGATCTCATCCAGTCACCATTTCTTTCATCATGTAGGCATTCACTCACTGTCACATGGTTCACCTATCATTTAATCCTCCTTCCACCCATAATCCTACCATGCAAAATAGGAAAACCTCCATCAAGGAATCCAGAGGTGTCTGTAATAATGTGATTTATTGATTATGTGATGTGATTTAAGCGTCCAGCAGCCTGAAAGCTACCACTGAGGTTACAGCTAATTCTGCATGGTACTTCTGTGTTTGAGGGAGGTTTTATGAAGCTCCTCTTTCTATTAAATTTTTTTTTTTTTATTTTTTTACATCAGGTAATATGCTGTCATTGCAGACTCTAYGGCAACATGGGAATTGAGCTTGTCCTGTCCCCATTGCCCTCTGCCTTCTCCGCTAGTGACCTAACAGATGCAGCTTCTGATGACAGCCAGGGAACTCAGAAAGTAATGCAAGTAATTAAAACTGTCAAATTTTCTAATGTATGTTCCTGCACACCTACTAATATTTACATTCCTAAGCCTTGCTTCATCAGCTTCATTCTGGGACGTTTGTCTCTGTGAGAAACTAGTCAGCTACGTGAGCTGATTTAATGCTCCATGGCTAAGTGTTCTTTTTCCACTTCTGGAACATGTCTCCCTGGGAAATAGGGTGCTTTCTTCATGAATGTATAGGGTGCTTTCTTCATYCATGCAGCCTCATGCTTTCAAAAGCACACATGCAAAATTATCTTAACTCTGAAGTACAAGTTGCCAAATACAAAACACATGCTACAGCATTTCTAAATTCTCTTCCTATTTTGTTCCCCTTTGCCGGAGAGTTTGKAGAATTTCACTCTTGTGTAAAATAAAAGTATCTCATATTATCACTTGTCTTTTCCATTTCCAGGTGAAAACAGGGTGTTTGCAGCTCAAGAAAAGAGAGTGTGACCACAGAGCTAGCCCAGCCTGGGGGTGAGCTGCTTGTCAGCCAGGCATGGCATCTGGCTTGGTGTTTCTCCTGTTAACCTGCTGTGAGATTAGAAGAAAATTAATGCATCCCCCTGTGCTCCACTCCACCTCTGTCAATTTGAGGTGTTAAACTCTTTGATGTGATCTCTGTGTTGATATATTGTGACAACCTTCTCCGGGTGGACTTTTCTCAGGAAGCACTGACCAAGTAAATAATGTACCAAACAGGCACTCTGGAGTCCTCTGCTCTGCTTCTGCAKAGCCCCAGGCAAATTATCAACCCTGACTTCTTATCTGGCCTTTCAGCACAGCAGGAGCAATGCTATTGACCACCCTGTAACACRCTTTGAGACTTATGTGTGAAAAGCAATAAAAGATAGGCAATCCTGTAAAGTGCCTAACTAATAATAACCAAGTAAGCTGACCCCTTGCTTCAACAAGGTTGATCATTTCTAGAGCATTTTTAGAAATTTTTGAAAAGATATTCTCCCTGATTAACTTCCTAAAACTGTCAAAGGTTCAATGCTATTTCAGCTTTATTCTCTGAATATTATTATTACTTGTTCTGCTGATGATGTTTCCCACTGCTTCTTTCATGTTACATTAGGGATTCTGTTGTCCTGCTCTCTCTTATGACTCATGGATGTTTTAGAAAATGGCCCAGAAGTCTCTTCAAGTTGCCAAATCAGGGAACAGGACAGCAGACACAAAGCTGCCCCAGCTTTCCCGGGGAGGAACACTCAGGTCTTGCACAGAACAACAGTAGAGTAGAGCTAAGACTGCATTATTCATCTCAGTTTTTGCAAAGCCCTTTCCTTTCAAGGAAGAAGGGCTTTGAAGTTTCAGAGATTATTCAGACTCTTTCCAGCAGGCTTCTGCCTGCAACTCTGATCCAGCATGACCTCCACCTCTTTTTTTTTTTTTTTTTTTTTTTTTTTTTTTTTTTTTTTTATTTTTCTTTTCCTCTTACATTCTTTTTTATATCTTAAAGTATAGCTGATGGTATAAGATATCAGGTTTGCCCGAAGCTTGCCGTAATAAGGGACACTTCCAGGCACCTCCCCAGAGCTGCACAGCTTTATACCTGGACCATACGCCTACAGGCAATCAAGATGGCATCATCCATCTTTCTTGCAAGCAGAGAAAGATTGTAACATTTCTGCCATCAGTTGAATTTCATTACTAGTAAATTTCATTGTCTTCCTGTCTCTTTAATTGTATTCTCCCTGAATAAAATGAGAGTAATTCCACCATTTTCAGAGGACATTATCCTGATTTACAGTGGTATAAGAGAACATTTTAAAATGAGCAATTACACATCATATTTTACAGTATTATGTTGCTGTGAAATGACAGTGTAGCCTAAGTAGCTCTGGGATGAAAAATAAAAAACCCAGCACTGAATTTTACTTCTACTGCAACCCCACTGCAAAGAAAGGGAGAAAACAGTTCCTGATTCTAAGGAACTCTTTCAACCTCTCTCCCCAAAGAACCGCCTTGGAAATACTGACAGATTTTAAAGCTGCTGTTTGAGARCACAGAGAGTCTCCTACTGAGCAGTGCACCACAGCTACCTCATTAGGTGCACCATATCCAACCCTCTGCACAGACTCAGCACAATCTGCATACAAGCCACCCTAGGATCAAAAAGCTTATGAAACAAATGCCAAATCCACTGCCTAACCTTTAAGGAAAGGCACAGGGAAAAGCTTCACTGGTYGCACTGAGGCAGGATATTATTCCAYARAAAGGTGTGTGTTTTGGAATAGTGATGTAGAGAAGGTGTACACATCTCCTCAAAAAGATTAAGGGAAATACAAGACAGTATCATTGAAAAATACCTGCGGGGGTTATTTTTTTTTTCTCATTAGACCAACCAGATTTTTCCTGTAGACTCTGCAATCCACAAATTTTAATGGAGCTGTTCCTTTGATTTTGATCAGTGATCCCTCCCAAACTGTGATTATAGTCTTTTCTTAGTTTTCTTTATTGGGAGTAGGTTAGAAACTYACCATGCTAGGCCACACTTTCATAMCCAGTTACACATGCACGCTTGACTTCATACAATGAACAAATTCAGCAGGAGTAAACAAAGCTGCTTCCTTAAGACGCTCATAGTTATTTAGAGGATGGAAAGACTGGGGGAAAATCAGTTTAAGACAAACCAACCTGGACATCATCACCATCATCACTTCAAGGCACAAAGAATATGGGGTGACTTTCAGAAAGGATGTCCAATTTAGGCTGCTAGCCTATACTGGAAAATAACTGGACTTCTCTGAATGTCCTATAGGATACATGGCAGTGTCTACATTTACAGCAAAGTATTTCATCATATTTGAGCAGTTGGGGGCTTAGGGAATTTTGTGAATACAAGGCAACTTTCAGAAAAAAATGTAATGACTCTGCTTGTTATGTTTTCAAGATACGTCTATGAGGGCTGAAAGTATGATGGACAGCACCCAAATTAAAAAAAAAAAACAAACTTTCAAATTGGAAAAATGGGCTAAAGCCAGAATTCAAAACAAGGGTAATAAATATGTTTAGGCAGAAATAAGCAAATGCAAAAAATACAGGCAGGKGAAGAAGATGGCCCTGAGTGCACAAAGTGGAACAAATGAATGTAAGCCAACATGTCATGCTGTCATTAAGAAAGAAACTACAGGATTATGTASAGCTTGCAAAAATAGAGCTTACAAAACACAGGAAGCAATCCTTATGCTCTGACCACTAATTTTCAGCCCCCAGATGGGCAAATATGTCCCTTTTTAATATAACAAAGAGGTGGATCGATTGGAGAGTCTGGTGATAAGTAATGAATGTGATGAAAGGTCTAAAAAAATATGACTAACAAAGAAAATCGAAAATATTTGATGGTTTACCCCAAAGAAGAAAACTCTAAGGGTGGG